GGAAGGGGCCTGGGGAAGAAACGCAGAGGTCATCGGGCCCAAGTCATTCCCCAAAACAACATCGGCCGGTAGTTTCTTCATTATGGCCACCTCTACAACCCCCTCCCCAGCACCCCAGTTCAAATGCACTTTGGCCGTGGGTAACCGGTACATAGCTCCCCCTGCTACCCGGACTGCCACTGATCCGCCAGTGTGGGCCGTATCTGGAATTAAATGAGGGGCCACTAAGGTCAAGGTGGCTCCCGAGTCCCGCAGCCCCTGCACTTCTTTCCCTCCCACAAATACAACTTGGCGATGATGCTGCCGGTTGTCCGTGGCTTGCACCGACATCACCTCGTACAGAACCCCCAATGGTTCTTCGGTTGATAGACTTGTCAGCTCCGAGTGGTCCGGTTCGGTGTGGTAGAAATGGGCCACTGCCCTTGGCGCGGAGTTTTGCCGTACTTGGTTCCACGCCTGCCTGCTCCGATTCTGGGTGCACTCCCGGGACATATGCCCCCACTGCCGGCAGGTATGGCATTGTATGTTGGCCCTGCCATTGTAGCGTGATGGCGGTGGGGGGTTTCCTGATGGTGGCCGGAATGGAGTAGCGTTGGCGGGTGTGGAGATGGTTGGGTGGTGTGGTACAGCTGGTCTCAGGGGAGCCCTGTTGGGAAGCCCATGATGCCTTCGGGCGTCAAAATGCTGATCCGCCAACCGGGCGGCTTCGGTTAGGGTGAGGGGTTTCCTGTCCCTTACCCATTCTTGTGCCTCAGGTGACAGTCCGTTAAAAAATTGTTCCAGCAAGATGAGCTGGCGCAGTTCCTCCATTGTGGTAGCTTGGCTCGCCTGAATCCATCCTTGCGACGCTTGGTCGAGCTTATGTGCCCACTCAGCGTGGGAATCTTTCTCGGGCTTCCTCAATCCTCGAAATTTACGCCGGTATGCCTCCGGGGTTATGGCATACCTCTCCAGAATTGCCCTCTTAACTTTAAAATAGTCCTTGCTATCTTCTCTGGGCACAGCGCGATACGCCTCGGCTGCTCGTCCTGCCAACTTGCCTGCCAGTAGGGGTACCCACATAGCCTGTTCTAGATCATGTAGGTCGCATAACCGTTCAAAATCCTGCAGGTATCCGTCAATCTCGTCTTTCTCCTCGCAGAATGCTTTAAATGCCTGGTAAGGTATTTTCTGCTTCACTGGAGCGCAGAATGAATTGGCGATGGATTCTGCCCTGGATGGTGACCTCTGGTGTTGCTGTGCCATAATATAATCCTGGACGTCCGCCATCAGTATAGTTAAGATGTCCAGGGTTACTGGCTGTGGTACAAATTCCAGCCGGGTTCTCAGTTCCCTCTGGTACGGTGTTTCCTCTCTGGCAGGTGGGGGTGGACTGCTGTGTGCTTGGTCGCCCTCCATTAGCTCTGCAATCAGGACTGCTTTCGATTTATTGCTAGCGCTTTTCCCTCTAGCCTCCAGCAGCTCCTTTAGCGTCTGTCTCTTTAACGCCGTGTAATCAGTCCCCATTCACTGATCGCTTTCGTCTGCTTGTTTCATACGAATTGCCTTTCCGTTCGGTAATTCCTTTCATTCGAATGCGCTGTATTCGGCTGTAGAGTTGGATCCCGTCGCTTGCCACCAATTGTAGCGGAACGCCAATATAAAATCCACGAATTCCGCTGGTCCAGAACGAATCCACAGTCAAGCGCTGAAAACACCAAGGCAATATCCCCAACCTCCCAATAACCGGACGAGACACAGTTTTGGGAGTCAACTGGCAATCCTTTATTCAGCACGACAATTTATACAAGTACCCATGCAAGGGGTCTCCTGAGTCCCTTCCCAGGGGCATTCCCAGAGGGGACTACATGGGGGACTTACAGTATAACATATTTCTCCCATCAGGCACTGCTGCACGAGAGGGATCATCCTCCCAGAATGCACCGTTAAGGGGATTATCCCCTCGTGCAGCAGAACCGGCAATTCATATAAAAATACATAACTTTTAAAATACACGGTGGATTTACACGAATGGACGTTCGGTAGATAGCTGGGGTCTGGGCGCATCATTCGTGAGATTGCCGCTCAGATCCCAGCCAAATTAACCGAACGCCGCACAGAAAACACATTTCTTACAAAACCCACAAAAGGAACCGATTGCTTTGGGTGAACCTGGTCCTGAAACTCCCGAACGTCTGGGAGGCTCAGCGGTGTTCGTGCCGTCGAATAACTATTGGTAGTAGTATGCGTTCGACGACACGGACCCGCTGACGAACAAGGGATCCAAGATGGCCGACCGCCGCATGGTCGGTAGTCGAACGACGGCCACCCAGGAGAGCCTCTAATAACCGATTGCAACAATGTTGCAATCGGTTAACTAGCGCCACACGCCTCTAAGTGTGTGGGCTATTAGGGGGTATCGCGTTCGGTTCACGAACGGCTTTCTAAAGTGCCGTTCGTGAAACGAAAGAAAATCCCCATACAAAACCGCCAATTGCATTCGGCGGAAACAGTATTACAGGCAACACGGAAAATACCTTAACATCTACATATGTGTACAGCGTATATCTCGCCCGACCTAGTGGCAACCCTTAAAGGCACAGTCTCTAGTTATTGTCCAAGTGGCTAGGTTTGCCACATTTATTATTAGAAAAAAGCACTAGTCCTTATCCCTATTTTGCATTACACCTATGATCCAGACTGTCAGTATTGCAAACCCTATATGAAGACTCTGCTTTCACTGTTTATGTATACACCCCTAGACAACCGTGCTATACAAACACAATAAATCTTTAAAAGTTTATTAATATTATATCTGTGTGGTACACAAAGAGGGGGGTGTGAGTTAGGTAATCTCGACCTGCATATGGAATATGCTTCCTCCTTTTGGTCAAACTGTTGGTCTGTGACTGGCCCTCTTTGACCCCAACTGAATTTCTTGGGAAGATTCATGAGAAAGATACAGCAGGTTGTTTTGATATAAAGAAAGAGGGAAAAGTATGTTGTATCGGTCACAAAGAATTGTGATCTTAAGCAGGCGAGACAAGGACATTTGGGAGGTGATAGGAGATTGGATCAGAAAAGTTTTAGAGGTAGAGGATTTGATCAGAGGGTCTAACTTTTGTAGAGGTGGCAACTTCAGCACTGTTTTAATTGTGGATAGCAGGGATTCACCCCAAGGTAAACCCGGTTCTCCCGGTCAAGCTGGCCCCACTGGTACTCCTGGAATTGCTGGTGCCCCTGGCTTCCCTGGTGCCTGTGGTGCTCCTGGACCTCAAGGCCCCGGAGGTTCCCGTGGACCTAATGGTGAACCTGGTGCTCAAGGAAACAAAGGAGAACCCGGTGCTAAGGGAGAACCTGACCCAGCTGGCGTTCAAGGACCCACCCTGAAAGGTTCCTCAATACCAACCACAGCTTCCAACCTATACCCACACCCAACAACCCCAGCCTAATTCACAGATGGTTCATGTTTTTAATACTTTATATATAGTTTTGAGTGATAAAACAGTATTAATACTGGCTCTTAGAGGATGTACAAGCTGAAGTTGGGACCTAGACATTGTTTGCATAGGCTGCACAATGTGAAATAACTAAAATAAAATAGGATAATATTAAGTATGCTTAGTCAATTTGTAACGTGGTATCATAGAGGCATCTGCAATAAAATAAGTGGGTTTCGAAGACCTGACAAGTGAGGGCAACTTAATATAAAATATGTCTACAGTTTGCTCTCCCTTCCTTATCAGAGGCCACTTGCCGCCTTAAAAGAGCAAGACAACTCTTCCGAAACCTGTATTAAATTAAACAAAGCACTTTAGAACAATAGTAATTCATTTTGTTTCTCCTATTTCATTCCTAGTTGCTCTGAAAAAAAAGATTGTTTAAGTGGGATAACTATACAGTATTAAAACATGATCACGCACATACAGAACTGGTGGCTTTTTGGACATCGGGATATGTAAAAGGTTTCGATTTCCAAAGATGTTATCAGTGTCCACAAAATTTCTGACAGACTTCAGCTTTCCAATTTTATTAAAGTAATTAATTGAGATTATCAAATCAAGGTTTAAGAACAGCATTTTATTGGGAATTATACCAATATGTATATGTTAGTGTTTTAGTATTCAACAAGCATTTATATAGAATGAGTGCTTCTCTCATCCATACAAAGGCATTCTAAAGGGAAATTATGTATTAAAATTTTATAAGGGACAAAGTCAATGAATTATAAGCAAAACTGAGAGAAGTACATGTTACACTAGTTAAGAGTTTAACTTTAGTCTCTAATTTGAGTTTAGCCTAGATAATTAATTTATTGATGTCGTACTGATCCTTGTGTTCGTATGATTATAGAGACCGTACCGGAGTATTTTTGCCCCCTGATATTTGGGACTACACACCAATCTCTCTGGCTGACCTACCTGCCTACCTACCTTTTTTGCAATTAAATCTGTTTGGTCGAAATCCATGCTGGCTGAAGAAACTGAGATGCTTACTTATGAGGACATAAACTAACTTGGAAAGTCCTGAAGGTGCAGTGCTGTCTAATGCCGCCATTTCTGTATTACCCTTTTTACAATTGTGGTGTTGCACAGAGTATTGTGGTGAACATCCAGAAAACAGAAGAATTAAGAACTATGTGGAAGCTGACATTGTCTTGTTGTCAGCCATATTGCTACCCTTAGCTATGTTATGGTGTCTAAGATTATGGAACAAAGTTTATGGTGTCTAAGATTCTTTATACTCCTTGAAAGACTTATTCTATTTTTCTGGACTATGCTGAACTATTGAACTATTTTTATTTTTGTAGAGTTAGCCAGAGAGAGAGGAAGTGTTAGCTTACTCAGGCATAGATGTAATATATGTGTCATTGTGTATGTTGAGTGTACCAAGGATGGATTCCCATGTATTAAGTGTGGATATGACTGGACCATCGAAATAGGGATGTGATTAGGAGACATAGGATGCAAGGTCATGATTGGGATTATTGTTAGAATTGCAAACTGATTAAAAATTATCTCATGATTGAATATGTAAGTGGGCCTTTTCACACTAATCAAGAAGTGTTTCCCAATCCTGATACCCGAGCTATTTACTTACAAGTGTGGGTTTTTATAAGTCACTAATGCTGTCAACATGAGGGGATGACATGTCTACACATTCATGGCCCTTACTTAGAGTTTCCCCAGTTGTGCTTTTTTCCTCAAATATGAGTTTTTGCCACTGGGTTTTTTGACCTGGCCTGAGTTCACTGGGTGGACTGGTAATCCAAGTGCCTGGTCCAAAGAGGGGGATAGATATTATTCCAGTTTTGACTATATGAGCTTACATTATGAATTATAATAATAATAATATTCCCGTTGTTGGGAATAATACACTTTGCCTGTATTGACCCAAGGCTCAAGCTAAAGATAACATGATGTTCAGTCTGTTTAAAAATGCTTAACATGTCAACTGTTTGAAATATTTAACTTGTACACTTAAAAGATGTATTCAACAGATAATTGAAAAAGCAGAAAATTGACAACTCGAACTCCTATTAAAGGGAAAAACTATGGCAAAGAGCAAATGGGGGAAATCGAGGTGAAGAAATAACGAAAGTCCCACAAACGTGATTAGCACGTCTGAATATACCTCCTTTCGTTTCTCTGCCGCAGGCCTCCCATGGATATTTTCCATAAGGTAGATCATGATATGATCTAAGAGGGGAATTGTAGATACAAATATCCATCTCACTATCTATCCTAGCTGTTCATATAAGGGTTAATTTGAACCAAAAATAAATTTGGTATTGTATCTCTGATTCTCAGAAATAAAATTTATCTAAAATCCTAGTTATGGGAAAAGTACTGATTTCGAAATGTTCTTGTTAATTGTCCAAGATTTTGGTATTTGTAAAAATCTGTTTTTTTTTTATCAAATATGCATGCGTTATATAACGTAGGATATAACTAGAAACAGCTGTTCATAACTTGTGAAAAACAATCTATGTCATTAATGCTCATGGCCCCTATCGACATGAAAATGGGGTTTAAATATAACTGACGTATAATAGAATTTGAATTGGTTATTGAACACATCCCTGCTATTCATTTCCAATTTCCAGAGCTATGAATGAGTTGGCAAATATCCATCATCCACAAAGGGCCCGGGCTGATTTTATCCCCAACAGACCTAATGGAACAATATTCCATTCTTTTATCCACACTTGATCTCCCAGTTGATAGGAATGAACAGGTGGATATATGTTCACAGGTAACCTATCGTGCACCCATTTCTGTACTTCCTCCATAGTTTTACCCAAATTTACAACCGGCTGCCGAGTAATTCCTTCACCCAACTGATTCAAGTCCCCCCTTAGATTATTTAGTATGTGATGTGGACGCCCATGCATGATTTCAAAGGGAGACAGACCCATTCTTCTGGTAGGAGTACTACGTATCCGCAAAAGAGCTATTGGCAAAAGGACATTCCAAAAAGAGAAGTTCTGCGCTCACTCCCATCACTACTGGCCCGGCAGCAAGGACTACAGTACACATCAGCCCCAATATATAGTAAAAACCAAAGAAAAGAAAAAGTTACCTGCGCTCTCTCCTTAATCCCTATGTATGTTTAGACAACTGGAGGTCATTTAGTTGCTCCAATGGCCATTGGAGGGAAAGCCCGCCTGCCAACGTCAAGGCAGACCCCCCTAAGCGGGTCCTAACACTGACCCTTCAGCCTGCTTCCTTGTGGCAAAGATATCTCTAATGAGACAGAGAGGGGTATTTTTTATATACACGCCTACCCTATATACTTATTAACCCTTAATAGCATTGTAACCAGACTGTGTGATACAAAGTAAATACAAATACAAAAAGAGAAGTCCTGCGCTCACTCCCATCACTACTGGGCCGGCAGCAAGGACTACAGTACATGTCAGCCCCAATATATAGTAAAAACCAAAGAAAAGAAAAAGTTACCTGCGCTCTCTCCTTAATCCCTATGTATATTTAGACAAATTGAGGTCATTTAGTTGCTCCAATGGCCTGCCTTGACGTTGGCAGACGGGCATTCCCTCCAATGGCCGTTGGAGCAACTAAATGACCTCCATTTGTCTAAATATACATAGGGATTAAGGAGCTGAGTTTCCTGACACATTTTAGCCAATTGGGTTTTTTCCATAACTCTGAGGTCTATATGCTGTATGAAGTTTCAACTTAATACCAAGCACATGAGTCAATTGTTGTAAACACTGATGGATAAAGGCTGGACCATTGTCTGATCCAATAGAACACGGAAGTCCATATCTGGGTATAACTTCTCCTGCCTTTTCTGTACGAGTTGGACAAGCTTCTACCCAACCTGAGTAGGTACACACAGCTACCAACAAGTAACGATATCCCCCAGATTTAGGCATTAAAGTGCAGTCTGTTTGCAAATCTGACATTGGGAGTCCTCCCATATATTGAACTCCAGGGGGTTTGACAGGGCCTTGTCTTGCATTGTTTCGAGCACACAAAACACATCTTCGAACAATAGCTTGAGTAAGATTGGATAATCTTGGTATGTAGAAATGTTTCCTGCTCACAGACAAGGTGGAAGACCACTGGCCACTGCATCCAACTGTTTGGACATATAAGCTACACGTCTTTGCCATGATTCCAAATACTGAGTTAATACTCCCACAGCCATTCTTCTTTGCTCATGTACGTACAGATAGAAAGGATGTATGCGATCTGGTAGACCTAGGGCTGGGGCACTCATAAGTGCTTTCTTAACATCCTCAAATGCCTTCTGTTGTTCAGAGGTCCACAAAAAGGGGTCATATTCTGTGCCTTTCACAGCTTTAAATAGAGGTTTCGTCAGTATCACATAATTAGGAATCCATATCCTACAGAATCCTGCTGCTCCTAAGAATTCTCGCACTTGTCTTCTATTCTTAGGTATAGATATCCGACACACTGCTTCTTTTCTTTCAGGTCTCATTATTCTAAATGAACTCCTAAATATTTAACAGTTGACTGGCACAATTGCGCTTTCTTCCTTGATACCTTGTATCCTGCTCTTCATAGAATGTGAAGCAAATCATAAGTTGCTTGTTGGCATATCTCTTTAGTAACAGCCGCTATCAAAAGATCATCCACGTATTGAAGGAATACACATTCTCCTGGGATGGACTTGAAATCTTGATTAATGGCTTAATGCAGATCAAAATAGGGTAGGTGAATTCTTGCACCCTTGAGGTAGTCTGGTCCAGGTCATCTGACGCTTTGAACCTGTAACAGCATCTTTCCATTGAAAAGCAAAGATACACTGACTCTCAGCAGCAATCGGAAGGCAAAAGAAAGTATTCTTAAGGTCTAGAACTGTGAAGTAGGTTGCCCCACCTGGTATCAAAGCAAGCAGATTATATGGGTTGGGTACAACTGGGTGTATATTGACTACTGCATCATTAACTGCTCTCAAATCTTGTACAGGACGATATTCATCTGATCCTGGTTTGTGAACAGGTAATAATGGAGTGTTCCAGCGGGAAGCACAGAATTTTAGGATGCTATATCGTACGAACTTATCCAAGTAGGTCTGTATGTTTTTCTTTGCCTTTTGAGGTAAATGATACTGACGTAGGCTCACAGGATAGGCCCCAAGCTTTAGTTCAATATGTATAGGTGGAATATTACGAGCAAGCCCAGGTGGATTACTCTCTGCCCATACTTCTGGAATGTCAAATAAAGGTTCATCACTCTTAGGGTTTACACTTGTCATTATGGAGTAGAAGCGCCATTCTTCTTCCCTTGGCACCGATACCGCCATTATGCCTGGTAATCAATTAAACCTCAGAGACTTTGATCCATTAGGTAGAAAAGTTATCTGGGCTTGAAGCTTCTGTTAAGACACCTCCTGTGTCTTTAAGCCAAACCGCCGTTTAGTAAATCTTCCCCGGCTGCAGTACAGTCTCTGCTCGCTTACTCTGTAACCCACGAACCAGATGCAGGGGAAGCGGCAATCTCCCGATCGAAATCCACGAACGGCTCCAAACTCCCGAACGGAAATATACGAACTGCTAGGAACCGTCGAACAATAATATCCCCAAAGCGGCTTTCGTTCCATCCAGCAGTCTCTAAACGTGAAGAAGCAATCCCCCCAATAACGAGACAGAAGCTCCGCATTGAGGGTCAAATAAGATCTGGTCTTACTGTGGGCTACCAGCCCGTATTTATGCAGGTCTCCCACCTGGTGGACACTCCCCTAGGGGACCAGATGGAAGACTTAAATTACAGACAGATAGAAGGACATTTCTGACACACAGTCACATCTCTTACCCACAGTGCATTCTGATTCCCTCCCCTCTGTCCTGGAGTTAATTACCAAGTAACTCAATAACCTCCAGGACAAGGACAGTCGCCATTTTAAACATAAAATAATAAAAGACATAAAAATGCATAACTACATGAAAACTGAACATTTCCATATTACATGTCCCCAGATAGCCTGGATCTGAGTGCATATTATTAGCGAATAGCGCTCAGATCCCACACACCTAGTTCAATCGCCATGGAGTCAAAGTTCTTACAGTCTTTCGGTATACGAATGACTCCATGGGAGGGCTATCTGGGTTAAGTCTTTCGTATGCTCTCAATCTCCCGAACGGCCGGTGTTCGCATGCTTTTGTGGAGGCAGCCAGGCGTTCCCTTGTTTCAGCGGTGTTCGGCAGAAAAAGTGTCCGTTTTCAGTTCCATAGAAATAGAGCCAAACACCGCTGGGCGTTCGCATGATTTAAAATGGCCGCTGCCTCGTGGTCGACATACGAACGACGACCACCCTGAGTTCGGTTTAATTGAGAAGTGTCTGCGGTTAACCACAACGTTATAATGGTGATCACTTCGTTAACCTGCAGCACACTCCTCACTTGGGTGGCCGTTCGTTCGGCGGTTTTGTTCGGGAAAAAGAGTCATTCGAATGGCTGGGCTATAGAAACCAGCCATTCATACGAACGGGGACAAACAGACGAACGGGCAAAAATCCAGCAGACAGATGGTTCTGTCACACGGCTCCCTCCTTGTGGGACACTCCGGCAGACCCGGCTTGACCCTGTGGCGGGTCAACTTGGGGATGACCGGACTACGAGGTGATGGAAACGTCTGTTTGTCGTGACAACCCATCTGCATTTCCGTTTAGCTTACCGGGTCTGTAGCTGATAGTAAAATTGTAGGGCTGTAGTGCCAAGCTCCATCTCAGCAGTCTCCCATTGTCTCCTGAGACCCGGTTAAGCCAAACGAGTGGGTTGTGATCAGTCACAAGGGAAAACTCTTGCCCATACAAGTAGGGACTTAACTTTTTCAATGCCCAGACCAAGGCCAAACACTCCTTCTCCACTGCCGCATAACTCACTTCTCTGGGTAACAACTTTCTGCTGAGATATGCGACAGGGTGCTCTCCTCCATCTTCCCCGACTTGGCTCAGCACAGCCCCCAGTCCATACATGGAAGCATCTGTATGGACGAGAAAGCGTTTGTTAGGGACTGGGGCAGCCAAGACAGGGGCATTCACAAGAGCCTGCTTCAGTGCCTGGAACGCAGCTTCACAAGCCGGAGACCACAGGACCTGCTTAGGCAAGTTTTTCTTGGTCAGATCTGTCAGGGGCTTAGCGATAGCGCTGTAGTCAGGGACAAAGCGTCTGTAGTACCCTGCCGTCCCCAAGAAGGCCAATACCTGGGTCTTAGTAGTAGGTGTGGGCCAGTTAGCCACTGCCTCTACCTTGGCTGGCTCCGGTCTCTGGCTCCCACACCCCACTCTGTGACCCAGGTACTGTACTTCAGCCATACCTAGATGGCACTTCTCTGGCTTCAATGTCAGGCCAGCGGCCCAAATTTTATCCAGCACTACCCCTACATGTACCAGGTGTTCCTCCCAGGACCCACTGTAAATCGCAATGTCGTCCAAGTATGCACAGGCAAATTCTTGGAAGCCATCCAGGAGTCTATCCACCATCCGTTGGAAGGTAGCCGGTGCATTTTTCTCCCAAAAGGCATGACCTTAAATTGGTACAGGCCAAATGGGGTGACAAATGCCGACTTGGGGATAGCATCCTCGGCCAGGGGGATCTGCCAGTAGCCCTTACACAGGTCTATGGTGGTCAGATATCGCCCCCTGGCAATACGATCCAGTAATTCGTCTACCCGGGGCATTGGGTAGGCGTCAGTGGTGGTCCGCTCGTTGAGTCGCCTGTAGTCCACACAGAACCGGGTGGTCCCATCTTTCTTTGGCACCAGGACTACAGGTGAGGCCCAAGGGCTGTCGGAGTGCTCGATAACCCCAAGCTGGGTCATCTCCTGTATCTCCTTCCGCATTCCTTCGCGACTGCTTCAGGGATACGATAGGGGGGCTGTCGTAAGGGGGTCTGTCCAGGGGTCTCTACCTTATGTACAGCTAGGGTGGTATAACCCGGTTCCTGGGAGAACGTTGCTTGCTTCTCCCACAACAACTGCTGCGCCTGTACCCTTTCTGTTGGGTTCAACCGGTCCCCTAGCTGTACAAGGGTAGTAAGGTCAGTCTGGGAATCCCTTTCTAATAAATCTGGAAGGGGAAGATTCTCAGAATCATCTGCAGCTGGGGCACATACTGCTGCAATATTCTCAGGTCTCTCCTGGTACTCTTTCAGCATGTTCACATGAAAGGATCGCTGGATCCTCTCATCTGCACAGCTGGCTATCAAGTAAGTAGTGTCGCAGATCTGCGCCACTACCTTGTACGGGCCCTGCCAAGATGCCTGCATCTTGTTGGCCTTCACAGGTTTAAGCACCAATACCTTTTGCCCAACCTGGAAGACCCGCTGTCAGGCACCCTGATCGTACCATCTCTTCTGTCTCCCCTGGGCCGCCTGGAGATTCTCCCTTACCATCAGGGACAGTGTAACGGATCGCCTGGCACCCCGACTGGGTACCTCCGTTGAAGGATGCTCCTAGCGCTTCCTGAGGACTCCAAGCACTCTGGCAGACACCACAATCACTGAACCGGAGAAACAAATAAATTCTCCCAAGCATATGAATGCTGTAGACAGTTGAATAGGAACCATACGAATAGGTTTACTTTCCTAGCAGTCAAACTGGAACAACATACAATGAATCCTTCCCCCAATAATGAGACGACACTTCACTTTGAGGGTTAAAACAGGAACTCCCTGTACTGTCACATACAGTCTCTTTTATTCCCAATCCACAAACATAGTACAGCCCACAGGGCGTTACAAAACAGCCAATCAATCCATACAATACACCCAGATACTCCCACACAAAATCCTCCCCTCTGCAGGTGATATGATTACTGAACACAATGGGTAATCTCATTATCACCGGCAGAGGAATACAGTTTTTACACAATATTTACAACTTCTAAAATATACATGTCACAAACATAAAACATACATTTTCATAATCAATCCATTCAGGGGAACAACATATTAAAAAATGGCACGAATCAGATCAGGGGTTCAAAAGTTAAGGGAAAGTCCTTTGTGACTAAATGAAGCATGGCTTTCTGGCCCAAACCAGTTTCAGAGTCTTCTATCCTGGAGATAAGTAATTCAATTATCTCCCAGGACAGACACAAGACTCCATTAAGCACATGGTTGCAAAAGACACAAAACACTTTAAAATACATAAAGTCACATTTACACATAACACACAGACATTTCACATATCCCCAGATAGCTGGGATCTGAGTGCACATTATTAGATGAATGGCACTCAGATCACACAAATAAGCCTTTCTGCAGGGGAAATAAACAGTTTAACCTGCAGGGCCATAGTCCAAAGGGAGCAGGCGAGCAACCAGGCTTCTCCAGTTCACAGTGGCGAGGTTGGTTTCGCCACACTTCTCCCCTTTACCATCCAGACTAACAGGGTATCTGACCTCCTGTCGGTCAGTGCCCTGGTTAGTCCAGCAACCCACCCATGAAGCACAAACAGCAGTACCTCCCACCCACAATAAATGTTTACCCCACCTGGATAAAGTAGAAGCTTGTCCAGTTCCAGGTTCCTCACCACGGCTGTGCGGGGAGCTGGTAGACTGCCTTGGTGGGTTGCTGAGTGGGCAGAGACCAGCGGTACTCTGCCCTGGTGCCAGCGCTACCACTGAAGTAGCCTGGTTGGAGCCTGGTTGTGGGAGGGGGAGACCGACCGTCTCCCCTCTGGGTACACAGCTCTGGGGCTGGGGGACAGGACCGACCCTCCCTACCTCTTGTGCTGCAAGTGCAAAGACTACGGTCCCATCTGCACTGTTGGGGGTGTAACATCTCCCCTTGGTGGGTTAGGCTGCCGCTGGAGAGAGGGTGTAACAAGCTCCTCTCTCTGAACTGTAACCTGCCGCTGGGGAGAGGGGGTAGCAGGCTCCTCTCCGTGACACTCTCTCTGCTGGTGGTGAGGGGGACCAGCTGTCTCCCCTTTCAATATTTTGTCCTGCTGCTGGGGTGCGAGACAGACGGTCTCTGCTCCCTGCAGGACACTCTGCCGCTGGGGAGGAAGGACGACACCTTCAGCTCCCTGGGATACAATCTGCCGCTGGGGAGGAAGGATGACACCTTCAGCTCCCTGGGACTCACTTGACCGCTGGGGAGAGGGACCAACTGTCTCCTCTCCTAAGAACACACACTGCCGCTGGGGAGGAAGGACGACACCTTCAGCTCCCTGGGATACACACTGCCGCTGGGGAGGAAGGACGGCACCTTCAGCTCCCTGGGGGACACACTGCCGCTGGGGAGGAAGGACGACTCCTTCAGCTCCCTGGGATACACACTGCCGCTGGGGAGGAAGGATGGCACCTTCAGCTCCCTGGGGGGGACACTGCCGCTGGGGAGGGAGGACGGCACCTTCAGCTCCCTGGGACACACACTGCCGCTGGGGAGGAAGGACGACACCTTTGGCTCCCTGGGACTCACACTGCCGCTGGGGAGGAAGGACAACACCTTCTGCTCCCTGGGGTACACACTGCCGCTGGGGAGGAAGGACGACACCTTTGGCTCCCTGGGACTCACACTGCCGCTGGGGAGGAAGGACAACACCTTCTGCTCCCTGCGGTACACACTGCCGCTGGGGAGGAAGGACGACACCTTTGGCTCCCTGGGACTCCTTTTTGGCCAAATCTACTAGAGATTGCAGGTATTCTCCTACTAGTTTCCTGGCGAGCTGCACGGCTCTCTCTGGGGGGTTGGGTCCAAAGGTAGACAACACCTCATTAACCTCTCTGTCAAACTCCTCCTGAGTGTAGTCATACGCCATGCTTGCTCTGCTGAAGTTAGTTCTTTTGTAGATAGGGTCGCTGTATGGGTACTAGCGTTGCCCTCAATTTGTAAATCCACGAATTGTGTCTCCGAGCTGCTTTACCTCGCACTAGGACGCCATCCCACCGCTTGCCACCAATGTAACGGATCACCTGGCACCCCGACTGGGTACCTCCGTTGAAGGATGCTCCTAGCGCTTCCTGAGGACTCCAAGCACTCTGGCAGACACCACAATCACCGAACCGGAGAAACAAATAAATTCTCCCAAGCATATGAATGCTGTAGACAGTTGAATAGGAACCATACGAATAGGTTTACTCTCCTAGCAGTCAAACTGGAACAGCATACAATGAATCCTTCCCCCAATAATGAGACAACACTTCACTTTGAGGGTTAAAACAGGAACTCCCTGTACTGTCACATACAGTCTCTTTTATTCCCAATCCACAAACATAGTACAGCCCACAGGGCGTTACAAAACAGCCAATCAATCCATACAATACACCCAGATACTCCCACACAAAATCCTCCCCTCTGCAGGTGATATGATTACTGAACACAATGGGTAATCTCATTATCACCGGCAGAGGAATACAGTTTTTACACAATATTTACAACTTCTAAAATATACATGTCACAAACATAAAACATACATTTTCATAATCAATCCATTCAGGGGAACAACATATTAAAAAATGGCACGAATCAGACCAGGGGTTCAAAAGTTAAGGGAAAGTCCTTTGTGACTAAATGAAGCATGGCTTTCTGGCCCAAACCAGTTTCAGAGTCTTCTATCCTGGAGAGTAATTCAATTATCTCCCAGGATAGACACAAGACTCCATTAAGCACATGGTTGCAAAAAGACACAAAACACTTTAAAATACATAAAGTCACATTTACACATAACACACAGACATTTCACATATCCCCAGATAGCTGGGATCTGAGTGCACATTATTAGATGAATGGCACTCAGATCACACAAATAAGCCTTTCTGCAGGGGAAATAAACGGTTTAACCTGCAGGGCCATAGTCCAAAGGGAGCAGGCGAGCAACCAGGCTTCTCCAGTTCACAGTGGCGAGGTTGGTTTCGCCACAGACAGTTTCTCCATGTGGTCCCGGAGTTCCAAAACATATGGTACTATGGGGATCCCTTCCTGCTCCGTCTCCCCCTCCCAGTGGCCTCTAATGAGATCTAGGGGTCCGCGGACCCTTCTCCCATACAGCAGCTCAAAGGGGGAGAACCCAGTAGATTCCTGGGGCACCTCTCTATAAGAAAATAATAGATGAGGCAGGAATCTCTCCCAGTCTCTGCAAGTGTCTGTAAAGGTCCTCAGCATCTGTTTGAGGGTACCGTTAAAGCGCTCGCAGAGACCGTTAGTCTGTGGGTGGTAGGGTGAGCTAAGTAACGGCTTAATGCCGCACACCTTCCACAGTTGCTGGGTGAGCACAGCGGTGAATTGGGTTCCCTGGTCGGAGAGGATCTCCTTAGGGAACCCGACCCTAGTAAAAATTCTAACCAGGGCATCAGCAACCGTCTCTGCCTCTATGTTAGACAGTGCTACTGCCTCTGGATAGAGGGTGGCATAGTCCACCACGGTAAGAACATACTTCTTACCGGATGGACTAGCCCTGGCCAGTGGACCCACAATGTCAACGGCTATGCGGGCAAAGGGCTCCCCTATAATAGGCATCGATAATAGCCTAGCCTTAGGGTGGTCCCCCCGCTTTCCTACCCGTTGACATGTGTCACACGTGCTGCAGTACATCCGCACAGCCTGGTTAAAGTTTGGCCAAAAGAAGTTCTGTGAAATCCTATAGGCTGTGCGGCGGGACCCTAGATGTCCAGCTAAAGGAACATCATGCCCTATCCGCAGAATCTCCTGCCGGTACTTTGCAGGTACCACTAACTGGCGATTCGGCGGAGTGGCAACACTCTTCTGGGAAGGTTTAGGGATCCTATACAACCTGTCCCCCACCCACTCATACCGTTCCCCATCTATTCCTTCCTGTGACGAAGTGCCCTTCGCCACTTGGTACTGGAGAGGCCTGCTTGCCAGCCTCCTCCCCTGTGACTATGACTCTTTCTTCTATCTGGCTTTAAAGCCCCTAGTCTACCTTCAGACAGACTATTTATGTGGGCTGCTTTATTTATCCTATGTTTTAGTCACCCTGTACCCATTATAGGTGCAGGGTGTGTGTAATGTAATTGTTTATAGTGTGTGTGTGTGTGTACTGTGTAATGTATTGCCTGCTCTCTTGTATTGCTGAGGTTTGCTACCAACTAGGTGGGTTTGGCTATGGAGCTGGTCTAGTGCCCTCTGTTGGTAGCAACAGCAATATGCACTACCTGAATTGCAAGACTGGTTCATTTGCATATTCGGGTAGATTTGCATGTTGCTAATTCTGCAGGCAGGTATGATATTTACTGTTAAATATTGTCTCCCCCCACCCCTTTAAAAATGTGCCATTGTGTTGTGATAAGTCACTGTGTGTTTTTTATTTTTAATTCTTTATTTTTGCGGTGCAAATAGTTATCACAAGCTCTTGCCATGCCCCAACAGCAGGTACAAGATTAGTAAAATACATACATAAATATAAGGCATAGAAGGTCACTGCACACATTTTTTTTTTTTTTTTAAGTTAAGTAGCTAGGTCACAGCGTAGTCAAACATGTCTATATAGCAAAACATAAGATGTGGTCGATGTGAGTTACTTAGACCTGTAAGTGAGTATAAAACAAGCTGGTGAGACATGCGTGTTAACAGAGTAAAATAATAAGCAAGTAGATTATTAGGCAAACACATGTGTCAGTATAAGATTAGTTGGTGACAGGCTGTCTGAACGCATGCCTAATGAATGCTATATAAAATTAGAAAAACATAAGATTACAAAATAAATTATAATCATGCTGGATCTAGGTAAGGAGCTTTAGAGGAGCTATCACCCTGGTTGATCAAAGTTGCTTGAACTTATGCAAAAGACAGGAACCGGCACCATGGCGGGTCTGAGACCTCATATAAGGGAGCAGTCGTATGATTAGCTGTTGCCTGCTCTGCCGTGTCGGTGTAGCAGGAAATGAGTGTCTGTCGAGGCAGGAGTCTGGGCACAGTCCAGCATTACTTTTCGCTGAATTCCTCGCTGGGTTCCCTTGGGCTGCAGCTGTTGTAAGTTGGGCCAGCCATATTTGATCTTCAGGGGACCAGTGTCCACCAAGGCAGGGAGCTAGATTTTATCCAATAAAACTTGCCACTGACTTCCACGCTGGATTTTTGGGGCCGTCGCAATACAAGATGGGTGTAAAGTGATAAAGGGGTCACCCCCTGTTGCAGGAGTACCTCGATTAGCGGCAGGGTCGATCGTCCCTGGCGGGTATGGTCGTTGTGCTGTGTTCCGTCCCCTCTGTGCTGCAGCTGTCATCAGCTTGATTGGATCGCCTTCACAGCTTGTCGCTGGCTTGGATTGTTGCGGGGACGGGTGAGAGTTCTTCCGTCTGTTTGCATTGCGAGGTAGGAAGGCTGCAAGCCCATCAAGCTTGTGCCCGGGAGTCGCGCTGCTTATTGTGAGCGCTGGGAGAGAGCAGTTCTTTCCTCTGCCTTCGGTGCACATGGCGCCCGCCATTTTAGATGCAGCGCTCGGGCCGCAGATCAAGGTGGTGTTGTCGCTGCGCCTTGGCTGCAGTTCCGCGGTCGGGGCAACAGGGTGAGGACCGGGATCACCCCCACCGGTCCAGAGGGGGGGGAACAGGGCCAGGGTCACGCGGGTTTGGTCCTCTGGCTGGGTTCTGTTAGGCAGGATAGCGGGGCAGCGGCCGTCTGCCCCACTCACCGCCGGAGAAGGCCCCAACTGGGACATCGAAGATTTCTCCTCCAGGGGACTGAAACTTGAGGAGCCAGCCTCTCCCTGGATCCAGTGTTCCCTTTGCACTGAGGATCATTGCTGTTGGTCTGCTTTTAGTTCAAAAGTCATGTTTTAAAAGCTTTAACGTTGGAACGGTGTAGGAGCTGGTCTTGCCTGCGACCATCCAGCTCGGCGGCCCGGCCCCGCCCCCGTCACTGTGTGTTTTTTGATATGGTTTGACTGTTTGTGATTTTATTGAGGTTTCACAACAATGTTATTGTGGTGACTGTATTGGCTGGTCCCAAAGGAATAAAGGTTTTGACAGTTCTTCTTGATCCCTCTAAACGTAGCCTTGTCTCGTTATTGGAGGGAGCTGTTATAATCACACTGGGGATTGCTATGCTCTGCATGCTCCCCTGAGCTTGAGTCACTTAGCTCTTTTAAGAGCTTGTTCCTGTTACGCTGTCCTGGAGGACAGAAGCTGATCCAGGGTGGAAGGAAGACGGCGAGACTCCGGTCAAGATACAGCGGTTGCGGAGTCTGCGGTGGTTGTGGTGTCTGCTGCAGTGTTTGGAGTCCTCAGGAAGCGCTAGGAGCATCCGTCAACGGAGGGTACTCGGTCGGAGTACAGGGAGCTCCGTTACACTTCCTCTCCAGCATCTGCCCTGTCCTTGTATCTTTGGAGGGTCGGATCTGCCCGGGTTTCCCTCCCAAACTCCTCTGGGGAGTCCCAGCTTAAGGGAACCTGATCTGGGGTACCAGTCTAGGAAGGAGATCTTACCTGGGTCTCGTCAGCAAGTGGGCTGGTACCGGCGGCACGGGTCTGGGCACGGGTGGTCACTGGGTTCACGTCTGCAGGGCCCATCGGAGCATAGGCTGAAACCAAAGGGGCCAAATCGTTTCCCAAAAGAACATCGGCGGGCAAGTCCTTCATCACCCCCACATCCACATGCCTAGCGCCCACTCCCCAATCTAAATGTACTCGGGCAACAGGTAAGCGAAACACGGCACCCCCTGCTACCCTTACTGCCACAGTGTCTCCAGTGTGCTGATGTTCTGAGACCAAGTTCTTTTGGAGCAGTGTCATCGTGGCTCCTGTGTCTCTCAGCCCATTCACCACTCTTCCATTCAGTTTCACAGTTTGCCGATGTTGCTGGCGATTATCCTGGTGAGCTGCTTGCACTGGGTCTGCCTCGTGTAGAATGCCCCAAAATTCCTCCAGCTCTAGGCAGTGAGCAGCAGGCTGAGGTGGCCGCTGGTTTCCATTAACTGGTCTCCTCCAGGACTGAGCCTGGTTGGCACTGTTCAGTGGGCACTCAGGACGCTTGTGCCCCAACTGCTTGCACCCATAGCACCGGATGGGTTGGGAGTACTCCCGGGCATTAAATCGGGCTGGTTGCATATAATTGTTAGCTGGTGGTGCCGCTGGGGTACGGTGTACTGGGGGTTGGTAGACTGCAGGAGCGGGTGTTACTGCTGGTCGATACTCCAGTCTGGCAGGGGCTTTAGCAGCTGTACCATCCAACTTCCGGGCATCCGTGTATTCGTCTGCCAGACGGGCAGCCTCGGGTAGGGTAGAGGGTTTTCTGTCTCTGACCCATTCCCGGACCCCAGCAGGTAGTCTATCAAAGCAGTGCTCCAGCAGGAACACTTGTAACACCTCCTCCCCAGTTACCGCTTGGCATCCAGCCATCCAGTGGGCTGCGGTACGATGGACTCTGCAGGCCCATTCCACATAAGAGTCCCCAACCAGCTTGTTGGTTTCTCTAAACCTCCGCCTGTACGCCTCTGGGGTCACTGCATACCTGGCTAGGAGCGCCTCTTTCACAGCCCGGTAGCTGGTGATCTCCTCCTCTGGGATGGCCCGAAAAGCTTCACTAGCCCGGCCAGATAATTTCCCAGAGAGGATGGTGACCCATTCATCTGCAGGTACCTGATGTAGCGCACACTGCCTCTCAAAGTCTGCCAAAAATCCATCAATCTCTCCCTCTGTTTCCACAAAATTTTTAAATGCAGCAAAAGGTACCTTCTTTCTGGCCACCACATTATTGTCATACGGTACCTCTGCTGCTGCAGCTCCTCTTTCCCGGGCCGCCTGTTGTGCTGCAACTGCTGCCTGCACACGAACCACGATGTCAGCTGGGGGTTGGGGCCAAAATGTGCCAGCCTTATTTGTACTGCCCGGTTGAATTGTATTTCCTCGGGTGTTAAATCCAAGGTACTGGGCACGTTGACTCTTTCCATTCCCGTTGCTGCATCCATCTCCATTAGCAAAGCAATAATCTCCCGTTTCTTTAAATTGCTTGCTGACCTTCCTCGGCGTTCCAATATGTCCTTAAGTGTAGCACGCCTTAATTCCTCGTACTGCATGTCTCGTAGCTGACCTCCAATGCTGTAGGATTCATCCCACCGCTGCCACCAATTGTTAAGACACCTCCTGTGTCTTTAAGCCAAACCGCCGTTTAGTAAACCTTCCCCGGCTGCAGTACAGTCTCTGTTCGCTTACTCTGTAACCCACGAACCAAATGCAGGGGAAGCGGCAATCTCCCGATCGAAATCCACGAACGGCTCCAAACTCCCGAACGGCAATATACGAACTGCTAGGAACCGTCGAACAATAATATCCCCAAAGCGGCTTTCGTTCCATCCAGCAGTCTCTAAACGTGAAGAAGAAATCCCCCCAATAACGAGACAGAAGCTCCGCATTGAGGGTCAAAATAAGATCTGGGTTTACTGTGGGCTACCTGCCCGTATTTATGCAGGTCTCCCACCTGGTGGACACTCCCCTAGGGGACCAGATGGAAGACTTAAATTACAGACAGATAGAAGGACATTTCTGACACACAGTCACATCTCTTACCCACAGTGCATTCTGATTCCCTCCCCTCTGTCCTGGAGTTAATTACCAAGTAACTCAATTAACTCCAGGACAAGGACAGTCGCCATTTTAAACATAAAATAATAAAAGACATAAAAATGCACAACTACATGAAAACTGAACATTTCCCATTCGTATTACATGTCCCCAGATAGCCTGGATCTGAGTGCATATTATTAGCGAATAGCGCTCAGATCCCACACACCTAGTTCAATCGCCATGGAGTCAAAGTTCTTACAGTCTTTCGGTATACGAATGACTCCATGGGAGGGCTATCTGGGTTAAGTCTTTCGTATGTTCTCAATCTCCCGAATGGCCGGTGTTCGCATGCTTTCGTGGAGGCAGCCAGGCGTTCCCTTGTTTCAGCGGTGTTCGGCAGAAAAAGTGTCCGTTTTCAGTTCCATAGAAATAGAGCCAAACACCGCTGGGCGTTCGCATGATTTAAAATGGCCGCTGCCTCGTGGTCGACATACGAACGACGACCACCCTGAGTTCGGTTTAATTGAGAAGTGTCTGCGGTTAACCACAACGTTATAATGGTGATCACTTCGTTAACCTGCAGCACACTCCTCACTTGGGTGGCCGTTCGTTCGGCAGTTTTGTTCGGGAAAAAGAGTCATTCGAATGGCTGGGCTATAGAAACCAGCCATTCATACGAACGGGGACAAACAGACGAACGGGCAAAAATCCAGCAGACAGATGGTTCTGTCACAGCTTCAATAATAGATCTCATCCTAGAAGTTGAATCGGACACTCTGGCATATATAGGAACTGGTGCTTCACCAAATGGCCTCCCAGAATGCAAGTGCGACTTTTAAGAACCGGTCTTGCTGCCCTTCTCCCAGTAGCTCCTATCACAGTTATAGTTTTTCCTGAAGGCGGAGCCAGTAGTTTAGTCACCACGGAATGTTCAGCACCAGTGTCAATCATGAAAGAACTTCTCTTTCCCCCTATTGCTACATCGACCATAGGCTCCGCACGGCCAAGGGGGATGGAGCCCGGTCGGTATCAATAGTCTTCCATTATAGTGTCAGCCAGACTCACAAAATCTCTATCCTCTCTATCTCTTGGTCTTTGAGTAGGTGGATAATATCTATCTCCTTGAACACACCCTCTACTATTCCTACCTGTTACGACACGTACCGTCGGGTAGATGAAGCCGCCGTTTAGGCAATAATCCCCTTCTCCAGAAATGCAAGTTAAATTCAGCCGACCGCCAAACTCCCGAACGAAGTCCACGAACACGGCAACTCCCGATCAGCCAAACAGTCGAACGCCTTCCACAGCTAGAAATAACGAAAGCGCTGTCCCAGTAATAATTCCCCCCCACAAACGAGACCAAGCTCCGTCTTGAGGGTCAAATGAAGATCTGTTTAATGGGGGCTACCTGCCCGGTATTTATGCAGGTCTCCACAAGGTGGACACTCCCCGAGGGGACCTTGTGGAAGACTGTAAAACATATTGGACAGTAGCCAGTCGCAGTGGCTTCAATAATAGCCCTTCCCATCTGGCCCATAATTCCGTCTTCTCTACCTCGGAGATAATTGGGAAGAAACCTATCGCCATCTTGAAATACAATAACAAAAATACATTAAAATACATAACGACAGAAATACCGAATGCATATGGTTCGTGAAACGTATCCCCAGACAGCCTGGATCTGAGGGCATGTTTTCACCGAACAGCGCTCAGATCCGATGTATCTAGTCGAATCGCCATGGAGTCAAAGTCTCTCACCAGTCCTTCGGTATATGAATGACTCCATGGGATGGCTGTCGGGGTAAAAGTCCATACGAATGAATAAAACTCCCGAACGACCGACGTTCGCATGCCTTGTCGAAAAGGAAGGTAGGCAGCAGCTTTTCAGCGGTGTTCGGTAGTTTAAGTGTCCGTTTTTAGTTCCATACAGTTTGTACCTAACACCGCTCTGTGTTCGTATGTCCCAAAATGGCCGCTGCCTCGTGGTCGACATGCGAACGACGACCACCTGTACGATTGGAATGGAGAGGTGTCTGCGGTTAACAAGAGGTTAACCAGCAGCACACTCCTCTCCTGGGTGGTCGTTCGTTCGGTAGTTTCAATCGGCATTTTGCAAATTACACGAACGGGGGGTATATGAACAGGCAATTCCGCGAACAAAGGGAAACAGACGAACCAACAATGCAGATGAATCTGTCACACTACCGTTCGCTCCAAAACTTCCTCTTCCTCTATAACTACCACTGTAACCTCCCCTTACTTTTTTCTCTCCTTGTCTATTATTTTAATAATGCTCTTTCTGTGGACACTCATTCTTCCAATGTCCTTCCTCTCTACAAAACGCAAATTGATTC